TGCAATGCAATTATAACATAGCTTTTTATTGCAATTATTTGATAATTTTCAARGCTTTTTATAGTTAATATTTTACTGTGTAAGATTACAGCATGGTTCTTTTAGTTCAATTTAGTCAGCAGGTTACTGGCTGCAACGTTTGATCATGCAACTAAACTATCAATCTATTTTGATAAGGCAGAGAGGGGATGAGAACCAAAACGAGTCACAAGACACTTACGATGTTTGTGTAAATTTGCACGGTCGCTGATCTGCACAGTTTTTAATATTGCAACTTATGCAGCTGCTAATTATAATGTAAAATTTTGTTTATGATTTTCGTATTTCAGCCAGAACACATGAAAGCACAAAATTGTGTTTACTCTGAGATCGCACGATTTCAGTTCTCGGACCGACAACGTTTTCTGAAACAGTATTACAATCTCTCTTCTTCAATGGTTTTATTAAGAGGAAATTCCCGGTTTGACTATTTTAGTAACTTGATGCTGATCAAATTTAGCCTTACCCCACTCTCGTGCGTAAATATCGCGAGCGTTCTTAAGAGGTTTCCCTCTTATATTTATGCTCTCTTGAATATAAGCAAATGACTTTGAATATATTATTTTTTAGCTATCTGGAGGTCACGCTATACTAGGTTTCAATTCGYTTTATGGCTATATGTAACTTGCAATTGAGACTTCTTAGCTTAAAGATATTGCGCAGAACAATTAAACAAATCACATATCAGTTCACTACATCTTCTACATTAAATTTGGAATGCAGAACAGTGATATTTTCTATCAGTGTCAATTCAAGCCTTCAACACTTACCAGACGGCAGCAGGAAGTAAGCAAGAATTAGAACAGGAAACAAACAAAGCTGGTTATGAAGCATACCAATCAATGGCCTGTTGATTATTCTGATCATAAAAGCTCTTGTCTTCAATAATCTTCAAATGAACGTCCGTCTAGCGAAGACTAGTTTAATAGTCAGGTATGGTTGCTGCCATTATCACTGGCCGAAGACGAAGAGAGTATATCGGAGCCTGGTACCCAAAATTAGCCTTGCATCTTGGATATTATGATATTAATTGTATCATCACTCTATAACTCTTGCACCAACAAGGGCTGTAGCACTCCTTGAGATCTTTACTGCAAACCATAGTCTACCAAAATCAATACGAACCCTCCAGTTGAGCATTGCCGTGTCATCTTCCACAACATTCACTGTATCGTCCGAATGTAGCCAAGTGAATGTTCCAGCGTCTAGAAAACAACCGAATGTGATCTTGATCCGTAACGTGTTGTTTGTTTTTGTTTAGTCATAACGTGCTCACCCCTAAAAAACATATTTCCTTTCCTGAGGAACGGAAAAGCAATGCWGAAACCAAAACCATTGCCAACGATTCCATACTAAAAAGCATACTCTTGTCTGAATTTTAAATGTGTATTTGATTACATAATCAAATAAATACACGCTACTCACAAAGTTGTAATAAAAATGTCGTCGTCAGTTGACGGTCTCGCCTTACTTAACATAGTATAATATACTAAGTTGGGCTACCTATGTTAATGCTATGTAGCTCATAGTATATCGTTTTTTCATTCCACACATGATATGGCAGCTTCTACGAGACCTTGGAAATTCGAGCTGTTGAAACTCAAGTTATGAGGTTCATGTACAGATTAGTAAGTGTCAGCTGTGATCGAGAGTGTACGGGATGGGAAGGGAAAAGAGACTTGTTTTGCATTCTTCTCAATGAAGCTTTCAAATAAAAACTTTCACATGGTAAAAGGAAATCTAGCTAAGATAAAACTCAACTTTCAATTGATATTTGTCAATTGTTTGCTTTATTGTTTATTAGTATCAATAAAGGATTGAAATCCAAATGGAGTCTACTATATAGCTTCATGGTTATTTTGTCAGCATATTATATTTAATGTATGTGGTTAACAAATATGAATTTATCGCTTTTTTGAAGGTCTTATTTTCTTTTTTTGAGTTTCYACTTATGACATTATGATATATGTGTACGATTTACTTGATCTTTTTACATGACTGTCTATCATGATCAATGTGTCTAAAAGAACAAAAGTGAAAAACATGGTTAAAATTGCAAGTGTATCTTTATTAATCGAGGAGTGAGTGTGCTATCAGTAATGATACAGATGTCCGGCCCGCATATCATTTACTCTATTAGTARCATTTTTAAAAGCACAAAGCAATGCCTCATCATGTTCTCGTTTGGTCCTTATTCACTTAACATTTGTTCAAGCCATCCAGAGACTGGTACTGTGGAGACACTCCTTTGCGTTGAATGGCCTGGTACTCTCCTGTACGTGTTGGGCTTCTTGTGGATAACAGTACTGTACCCGTAGGGGAAAGCCGTGTTGAAGGACTCAATGAATCGTAGTTACCAGTACGAGGTTGGATGGTCTGATAGGTGACTGGAGGTGAATTGGAAGAAGCCCCTGTTTGTCCATGTTGATCTGTATTTGCATAATGAGGCATG